TATATATTTATATATACTTACATACATATACATATACATACATGCATTCAAACATACAAACATAAATACACACACACACACACACACACACACACACACACACACACACACACACACACATATATATATATATATATACTGCACATGTGAGTATGTATCTGTTTGTACGTATACATGTGTCGACGTTTACCGTAATTTATACATATCTGTATATCTATACAAGCTAACCTATATGCATGTATGTAAGTACATCTATATATGTACATTTATATAGACTTTCCTATTTGGACAATCGAAAGTTACACACACAACCATCATTTTGTATAACCACTGTCATGGTACTGATCTTCACCCTTTCCAAATTGTTACAGTAGCCAGAGTTCTTCAAAATGTCGAACTCGCAACCGGATTTAACGAAGACGAGTGCCCTCTCACCTGTCGGTGCTCTGGGCAAACCAGGCAAGCGTGGACACAGGTTGGCAGCTGTAGTTGGTTTATATGTGTATTAAGATATACATTTGTTTATACATAAACCCTTACTGTTTGTGTCATCGATTAATATGTCTTTGTATGCATGCATGTCTAAGTATATGTGCATTAAGATATACATTTGTTCATATATAAACACTTACTGTGTGTGCCATCTATTGTTGTGTCTATGTATGTATACATGCGTGACCAAATATATGTGTATTAAAATATACATTTGTTTAAACATATACAATCACTCTTTGTACCGTCTACGGTCATGTGTGTGTATGCATGTCTATCCAGGTAGACGTGTAGGTCTATGCATTTGTGTGCATATGCAATGAATCTCTGTTTTTTTTTTTGCTTGAAACAGAGTATACGTAATATTATAATTGATGTTGTGATACAGTTCATAATTCTGTATGGCATTGCCCGTGTATTCTCATCGGAGTTTCAGGGTCACATTTGTAGAAACAACAGAAACGAATCGAATTTTATGTAAATAGAAACAGTAGGAAATCGATCTATGTGCATATAAACAGTAGGAAATTGATCCATATGTACATATAAACAGTAAGAAACTTATTTATATGTACATAGAAGCAGAAGTAAACTGATTTATATCTATAGGCAATTTAAGTTGTTTGGCCCTGCCTATAATTCCTATTCAAGCGCACTTATCCATGCATCCAAGGTAGTGATATCAGTGCAATATGCATAGCAGGATTCAATTGTGGTTGTATATACACCTGGTATAGTGTTATAAACATACGCTTGTCCATGCAGTATACATAGAAGCAGTCATGCGCATTTATATACACAGCCGAAATCACACGGTGGTTTTAGGGGTTTAGGGTTTTCTAGCTTAGAGAACCCTATTGAGGTAGGGTTTTCTAAGTAATTGGCAACTGACGGAACAGTCACGAGGGTTTGCCCGAAGTTCGGCACAATTGATTGGTGTGAAAGACTGTCATCATGTCCGCTAACTCAGTTATAGGCGTAGACTACAGTGACAAATACAGCATATACATAGTTACACACTTATCAATTCAGTCACGAACAGGCATTACAGAGATATGCACAGTAGGTATGTACATATACATATATATACATATACATAAACATAAAAATATATATACATAGCACATATATATATACATATGCATATACGTATACATATTCATGCTCCATGTCAACTTAGAATACAATCACGTGTCTATCGCATGCTTAGCTGCGCCTATTCTACTGTTCGTGTTATACGCGAGAGGGTTCGACCGGAGATCGGCTGCATCCATTCGTTCAGAAGACCATCACCGCACCTGTCAATCCACTTCGTAGGCACAAATAGCAGCGGCAAGCGCAAAACAGGTGGGCGTTATGTCAGGCCATACCAAAACCCTAAACACTAAACCCTAAAACCCGGAAAGAGCGCATTGCCTTGCATAAATACACACACACACACATACACACACACACACACACACAC